ATAGAGATATGACCTATATTTTGTTAATTTGCTGTAAAATTATGTCATTTTTTCCAATTTAATATAGCTTTTTTTGTTTTGTTTTCTTCGCTAACATGGTATATAAGCAAAATGAGTGATATAAATCGCAGTGCCATAAAAATCGTATGATAATTTTTAATTATCGTTTCAGCTTCTATTTGTTGTAATTTTTGTTCTTTCTTTAAACAACAATTTTTTTATTTTTTTTTTATTGATGAATGAAAAATTATCACACTTACAGTTAAAGAATATGCACTATGAAAAAAATATAATATTAGAATAGATAATAAACGTGAAAGATACAAATTCCTTACGTACTAATTTTTTTTTTTAACTTAATTTTATCTTTTTTTTAGTAACACAGGGTAATCCAGATTTGTATCACTGTATCACAGGAAACTAATTTCCATGATAAACGTAACCGTCGANTAGTCTACTCATTAAGTTTTGTGATGGACCTAAAACGTGATACTATTTTGACTGACTAAATGCAGGTGAAAATATTCTTTGGAGAAAAAGTTAATGTGCCTAAACCCTTTAAACACTTGCTTAACTTAATTTTATCTTGCTAATCAATTTATACTCAAACGACCTTAAATATATGACTACCAACCCCTAAATTCGTGATAAATAGTAGTATTGGATTTAAGAACCATCCAATAATCTAGGAGAAAGAAACAACATAAAAACAACAACAATACGAGATTTCACCATAATTAAAACGAGCAAATTACAATTCACAAAATACCAAAAAAAAAAATCGTTTTACAAAGAAAAATTCCCCCAAATTTCATCACTGTGAACTTCTCCCGTCGTCACCGGAGCTCCGATTCATACCTTCAGTAACCGACGCAAGTTTCTGTAGATTCAATCTAACAACAGTATCCGCAAACAATCTCGTATCCTCCTCCGTATTCCCTTCCGGTACATCAACAACGTACGATTCAAGCACAACCGTCCAGATCCGATCTTCTCTCTCAAATCTATGAACAGTAGTCACCGATTTGTAATTCCTCAGCCTATGTTCACCTCCGGTGATACTAAACCCAGTAACTCTCCGATCGTCGTCGAGCAGATCTAGTCTCTCTCTAGATGTGTTCGCGGGTAAACCACTGATCACGTTCACGTCGCGCGTGCATCCCACTCGCATCTCGAATCCTTGTTCTACGAAACAGCTTTTGATGAAGTGTTTGTAAATCTGGGGACGATCGAAGCGGCGGACGACGGACCAGACGGTTTCGGGTGGGGATTTGATTCGTTGAGCTAAGAGAGAGGAGCAACGGCCTGGACCGAGTTGGTATGTGTGGAACTCGGCGATTGAGTCGGATAGTGATGTGAACTCGTCTTGTGTTAACTCGGAAGGTATGGTTTGGTGATGGAGTGTGGTGATTGTTTGGGTTTCTGATTGTTCTTCGTCTCGATTCGCCATTGGTGGTTTCGAAACAGAGAGAGGTTTTGAGT